CATGAAGATGTGAACAGAAAAAGGTTTCGGGCTATGAAATGGGTAAAAATATAAATCAAACATGCAACCTCACCCGTTTGTTATTAGTTTGTCTTAATGCGTTAGCATTTATCAGGACTCTGCTGACACTGGAAAGAAACGTTAAGTCATGGTAATGAAAACATTTACAAACTCTGCCGGTCTAGGGACCCACATCCTGCTCACAGAGGAACTGAAGCATTATGCATATCCAAATCTGTTCCTCAGAGAGTTGCAACAAGGGCGGGTGATGGAGCGGTCCTTACAGATGACACTGCAGTTGTGACCTGCCGGCCCGGCTACTTTGAGCAGTATCCTTTGATCATTTGATTATACTTTGATCCAAGTGGATCCTCCGGCTAGGATGTTGAACATCTTTAGGTCCACAGTTCTTGGGGATGATCCTCCGATTAGCTATAAACCACTAAAATGCATGGGTGGTGAACCAGCTGGGGGTTAGGGAAGGTCACAAGGATCTGTGGTATCTGAGGTGAACTTCTCCATACTGCTGGAAAACCTCTCCTCCTAGCATTACAGGCAAAACTTTGCTTCCATTTAGGAGACAGGTGTCATCCCGACTGGAAATCAGGACTTGTTGTCCAGGTCTATAAGTCAGGATGGCTGAGTGGTCTAAGGTGCTGTGTTTAGGTCGCAGTCTCCCCTGGATGTGTGTGTTTGAATCCCCCTTCTGACAAATACTTTGGGGGCAGTCTGTGGTTCAGTGGGTTTAGCCTGTCTGTTTGTAATCACAAGGTTGCTGGTTCAAACCTCAGCATGTCTGTGGGTCCTTAACCCCCAGCTGCTATGGGTAGCTGCCCTTCATGGACAGCTTGCTCTACAAAGAGCAAGTTGAGGGAGGTGTAAAAAAGAATCCCTCCACAGGGATAATAAAGGATTAATTATTATTGTCTGGAAAGGGAAGGGTGATCACCTGGGTTGCGACAACTACTGTACAGGGGGATAACACTGCTCTTAGTGCTGTGCAGAGTGGAGGTGCATGGACTGGGTACAGGGCAGGGTCATGGGGTTTAGCGACTGTGGGGCATCTGTTGGTGAGGAAGGATTTACTGATCTTGACTTTGCCTACGATTCTGTGATCTTCACGGAGTCAATAGAGCAGGGGTCTCCAACTCTGGCCCTGAAGAGCTTCTATCCAGTAGGTTTCCTATCCTACCTGGCTTCTGATGAGCCACACCTGCTCCTGGTATTTACCTGAGAACTAGTGTGGCTCATCAGAAGCCGGGTTGGATAGAAAACCTACTGGTTAGTAGCTCTCCAGGACTGGAGTTGGAGACCCCTGCAATAGAGGCTCCGTTCGGGGCTCACAAGAGACTGAGTGAGGTGTCTAAGTGTCTGGGTTTGAGAGTGTTCTGGATCAAAACCAAGATCGAGTTTTTTAATGACCTCTTGGACACAGCCATAAGCAGTGAATCTGTCTGCGGGGAGAGTGTTGACCTTGTTGAGTGGTTCACTTACCACGGCAGCGACATTCATGTCTCTGATGACTCTTCTTATGAAATCAGTAGATGGATTGGATGAATATGGGGGGAGGGGTCATGAGGTTGCTGTAAAAGGGGCGTGTGGCGCTCCCAATATCTTTGAAGTAGGACGAAGGTTTGAGTCTTTAGAATCCTGGTGCTCCCTGTCTTGCTGCACAGCTGAAATGAAGACTGGACTTCTTTGATATTGTGTCTCTGGTTTGACGTGTCAAATGAGTGGTTGCTTGGGGAATCTTGAATGAGGCACATTACCTTCATTGTGAGGGAGCATCAGTTATGGCACTACTCACTATTGCTGAGGAACTGAGTGGCTGGACCAGGCCAAGGGGACGCCCACGTAACACCTGGTTGCTGTAGATAGATGGGCACTTCCGGAGAGTGGGACTGGACCGCATGTCAGCCTGGGGGATCTAATTATCATCCCAAGGTGTTTCATCATGTGGTGGGTGCAGCAACACCTTGTATCAGAGCACGCTCCCCAACCTGACTGGACCTGTTGTTATTTATTATCATCTTTAAGTTAGCCAGATAACTTCTCAGATTTAAGATAATCTGGGCTAAATGGAAGTAAACGAAAATAAAGTTCATTTGAATTGGGCTACTTTAAATCCAACAATTGAGCTAGCTAACTAATAGACCTTGCTTCATGGTACAGGCCCCTGAGTTGGCATGTACCGATGTGTGTTTATTACAGGTGAGGTATAAGATGTGATTAAGATATGTTGTGGCGCAGCATGGCGCAGGCGGTCCACTTAAAAGCTACAAGACAAAGGGATTTATTTGTGAAACTCAACTCACTGCATAAAACTACAAAACAAAAGGACCACGAGGAGTTAGAAAAACAACCGGGGAAAAGAATTAGGATTTAGCTAAACACCAGAGAATAAACACAACTACAGAACTAAGCAGGACACAAGGAACAGGACTGGGCAAAAGAGCAGGATGACAAATACAGTAATATCAACAATGAGGGTGCAAGGAACAGAAAGAGGGCAGGACAACTGAGCTAACGAGAGGCAGATGTGACACATAAGACAATTAACCAATAACAATGCTGCAGAAAAAACAGGCAACCGGTGCAGTAACTTATTCTAATGAATACAAGACTAGGGAAACTCCAACAATCCCTGAAAGTAAGAAACACTAATCACACACTGGGAATTACTACACTAGGATATGTAGTATGGAACCAAAATACAAACAGGAATGGACGTGAACAGGACAAAAGCAAGGTATACCTGTAACTGCGACAAAGTAATGAACACTGGGGAAACAAAAAGAATAAATATAAATAAAGAGGTGAGACTGGCCCCTGGGCAGGGAGCCACATGATCAACCCACTGAACTATGGGGCAGCCTGGGGAATCGGAAAACACACTAGGGCTAAGGGACAAGATGGAAGAGGGAACAGGATGGCCAGCGCCACCTGCTGGTCAAAACGGAATACAAAGGACAGGGTCAGATGGGTGCTGGCCCTGACAAAGATGTGCACAACAGTAGGTACTTAAGGCGAAGAAACTGGAGTTTTCTCTTCAGTTTTAACTCCAATATTGTTGTACACTAGAGAAAAATATCAAGATTTTCTTCTGGAAAACATGAACCTATATAAATATATTACAGCTTAGTTTTTAGGTAAATGTGCTCTAATGAAAGATAGCAATGAGTAGTCAGTGGGGTTTCTTTTCTATGGAGAATTTGTTTTTACTAATGGTTTGTTTTATATTTGCATTTCTCTTTATGGTTCTGTTTTGTGCTTTGAATGTTTTAGTTCCTCTTAACAGGCTATGCTCATTACAAGTTCATTTGATTAGTCCTGAGTAAACACTGCCTCGTCTGTCCAGCCCATTGTGACAACCATCTATCACACATTGTTACAAAAAGTATTTCTGGAAGCAAAAAGGAAGATGGAAGCAGAGAATACTTTGTTTAACTAAAAGCCATGTTTTGAATGTGCAAAACTGCACTGTAATTGTGAGGCCTAGAATTGTGAAACCAGCAACCACAACAGCCATAGAAATGGATTCACCACAGATATATGAAACAGGTGTCATGGGCACCTGCCTTTCTGTGTGTGGAGTTCACATGTCCCCCACAGTGTTGCACAGTTTCTAAGCCCAGAGACATGCAATTAGTCTAATTAGCATTTGAAATCCCATCCAGGGTGCGTCTCTGTACTGCCTGCTGAGAAAGAGTTCAGACCCCCTGTTACCCTGACCAGTGGCTGGATATCTGTCAGTATGGCACATGAAAGGATTTGCATAACGAACAGTGAGACCATTTCTTCACCTCCCTTCAATATGTAAATGAAAGTTTTGGACCTCTTGTTTTTCTGTTTTATCTTTGACAGCTGAGGTCATTTATAGTCTGCAATTCAAGGATACTAAGTATTAACATAGTTTATTTATCTATTCAGAATGTCTCCAATAATATAATATTTAATTTTTTTTTATTCTCTTCTTTTCCTTTACTGGCACTCTCTTGTACTGCAGGTCTCTGATGGTATTCTTATACAGCTAACATGGTTTTATCAGTTTAAGTGAAGCTCATATCTAAAGAGGCTGACTCTTGCAACATGGTTTCACAAAATGTCTATGGTGGTTGTATAAACAAAACTGCTCCCACTGGCACCTCACCGTCCTTTTTCCAAAATATTAAAAATGAACTTTATGAAAACAGCGATACCGTTATGGCCCAGTAGATGGCGCATTGGATATTGAATAAGATCATTAAAACATTCTAGTTCAGAAATATTAAACGAATTACCGTTTTACTTCAGTCCGTATTTATTCTAAATGGAGAAAAGAGAATGACGCAAAATGAAATGACTACGTTTAGTGAAACTTTTTTCTTTTCTTCATTATACTATTTCTTCAATAGTATTATTTTAATAAATCTGCGTTATGCATAGTATGTATGCAGATCCTAGTCGGGTGAAACTTTTGAAAGTTTAAAAAGTATTAGGTGTACTGTGTATGCCACATTGACCTGAAGTATGTGTCACCTTTAACATTAACAAAATAAATCTATGCAGAACATCAGCATTTTCCAGCAGATGGCAACATAACATCTTTGAATCATCATTCATTCAAAAGCACTTTAAATCTTGTATAATGTATGTGAATCAGTCGGAAGTCTTAATGATAATTAAAACGGGTTAAGCTGAATTTGTTTCTCTATAATGATTAAATATGGAAATTGTCCAATTAACTGCAATGAGTGGCCATTCATCGTGTGTGCGGAATAAACGTGCATTATAATGTGAAAACACGAGTTCAAACAGTTTGAATATGGTTCATATTAATACGACTCAAACAATTATCAAATTTATTTTAATCTCGTAGCCTAATGGTTTGTGCCGCACACGTATGCATGGCGCACGATATGAAAATGAAAGTCCTTTTTAATTGATCAAAAAAAAACTCCGATGAGTCAGAAAACGCACATGTCACATATAAAAATATCGCAGCTTGAAATGCACCTTAAATACCTATAACCTAAAGTGCGCCGGTTGCAGTCTGTGTGTGACATTTAACTACAGCAGTCTCTCATAGTTTGATCATATCTACTTCCCCCACTAGTTATATAGAGATAGCAACAGAAGAAGAAGAGGAAGAAGAAGGAGAAGAAGAAGCCAATACGGGGAGTGTAAAACCCCGATCGCATCACACGGAGACCTGCGAAGATCAGCCACCAGCGGCTCGAGCGTGAAGCGCTGCCGCTCGGAGTAAAGAAGCGGAGACATAAAGTCAGCATAGAAATGGCAGGTATAGTCACTTGGTTTTGGAATGAAAGATTCTGGCTCCCTCACAATGTAACCTGGGCAGACTTAAAAAGCACAGATGAGGCGACCTTCCCCCAAGCCGAGGATCTGTACCTGGCGATCCCTTTGGCGGTCTGCATCTTCATGGTCCGCCTGCTCTTTGAAAGGTAAGCGCATTTAACTTTTTGCTAGTATAACCGCACACTATGAATCTTGCTAGGGATGTTCCAGCCATAACAGAAAAGACGCATATTTCTGGAATCATCACTACAAAGTATTCCGATTTGGCGTAATTATAAAGCGTAATTATATGCAGGAAATTGTTCTCGCAGAAATAGTTTTATACACTTATGCTCTGCGCTGCCAAACTATTCGGCGTTTTAAGATTCATGAGATATTTTTAAGAATATTTCAGTGTCAATAAAAGTACAGATGCTATTCCTGTCTGTATTTTGCTAGCAGATTTTTCCACTGCAAAAGCAGCCAGATGGCCTTGCATGCTGGCCATGAGCTGAATCAGTTACTAGGAGGCGGAAGTGTGATGTTTGCTCATTATTTTGGCCAGTTCTGCCCTTTTGCGACAGTCATGCAACAAATACTGCGATATAGCATCTTCGCACCTATTTCCCCAGCTGTGTCAGCCAGAGAACTTAAACATCTGTAAATGTTTGCTGCTCCGTACGCTGTGGATTTAATTAAAGTTGTTCTGGTACTGCGATGACTCGTGGTCATTACGAAACGTGGATTTAAGGATTTCTGTATTTTCTCAATTATACTAACTTAAACGAATGCAATATTATATATATTTATATTTTTTCCGATTGGAACTATTGTAATACAACTCACGCCTGATTTTCATTCATTGCTCATACTGAGATTTAGCCCGAACATTTGGGGTTTCAGTATTTAACCTTTTCACATCTAACACTTGTACTGTAAACAGTGTATAATGGTACGACTGGCGGTAGCTTTGTCTACCACGTATCTTAATGCACGTGTTGCGTTAATAGTCTCGTGATTAATGATGTTTAAACAAGGGGAATTTCTAAAGTAAAGTTGACCTGGCTTATTTTATTAGTGCATTTGTCTTTAATGCCTGCAATGTCTGGATTGTCTTTGTTTTCAATATACACAGAATATTAATGGATTATCCCAAATGTAATTTTAATTAATGTTGGCCAAGTAATATTGGCCTTGTGGTTTGTGCTTACTACAGCTGTTCATAATTTATTAAATTGCCTTTAAAACCCTGAAATGATTTGCCGCATAACGATTCCAGAAGATGTTGGCAGAGATATAATATTTGAGTGGGCATCGTGGCTGACCATGAAGAGTCTAGTTACATGAAAATCTGGAGCCGGGGTTATTCTGCACAACGGTTGTTTGCTTTCCTGGGAAAATATGATATGCACACAACGTCAGTACTGACGGCCATTACTTCCACAGCATTTGACAGAGTTTGGACTCCACCCATTTATTTATGGAACTTAATTTATACCACATACAGTATACACTATATGCACAAAAGTATTGGCACATCTGGCTATTACACCTACAGGAAATCTTATGACGTCCCATTGTAAATCCATAAGCATCAAAATGGAGTTGGTCCCCCCTTTGCAGCTATAACAGCTGCCACTCTTCTGTGAAGCCTTTCCACAAGTTTATGGAATGTGTGGGAAGTTTTGCCCATTCATCCAGAATAGGATTTCTGAGGTCAGATCCTGGTGTTTGACGTGAAGGCCTGGCTCGAAATCTACATTCTAGTTCATCCCAAAGCTGTTTGATGGGGTTGAGGTCAGGGTTCAGTGCAGGCAGTCAAGTTCTACCACAACAAATTCACCCATCCATGTCTTTATGGACCTTGCTTTGTGCACTGGGGTACAGTCATGCGGCAACAGAAAAGGGCCTCCCCCAGACTGTTCCCACAAAGTTGGAAGCATAGAATTGTCCAAAATGTCTTGATATGCTGAAGCATTTGGAACTCTGTAGTTATTGAGTGAACAGAGTGTTGGCAACTTTTACTTTTTCTGTTACCTTACGTGGTTTGCCACTTCCTGGCTGAGTTTCTGTTGTTACTAAACGGTTCTACTTTTCAATTTTATCATTTACACTTGATCGTGGAATAACTAGCTGGGAAGAGATTTCACAGACTGACTAATTGCAAAGGTGGCATCATATGACAGCACCACGCTTGAATTCACTGAGCTCTTTAGAATGACCCGTTCGTTCACAAATGTTTGTAAATCTGACTGCATGGCTAGGTGCCTGATTTTATACACCTGTGGCAATGGGTCTGAATGAAACAGCTGAATTCAATGATTAAGAGGTGTGTCTCAATACTTTTGTCCATATAGTGTATATTAATTTTGGGACAGAACAGTAGCACATAATCAACAGACGTCAGTAATTTAAAAAATTTTAATTTAAAAAAAGCAACCCCCCCGCCAGCATTTCACAGTAGGCTATACGTAAAAACAACATCAATTTAGCAAGATGAATTGTTATTGTAACTTTACCATCGATCAAAGGGAGCCTTTTGGATTCATCCCAGGCGTTTGCACTGTGACATGAAACATGGTTGGCAAGTCAACTTAGCGCATTACAGTATATTATACTACAGTATATAGTATATAGTATAAGATTAGCTACATCAGCTAAAAAAGAAATATGCACCTCAAGCTGCAGATCTATTCCAATGTTTCAGAAAGTACAAGAAATCAAGAAACGTTTCTCTCCGGTGAGTAGTTTGTGCTAATGAATCATGTTGTTCGTGTACCTGCACCTGTTAAATTAACAGCCATCTGCTGTTATTTTAACTTAAATGATTGCATTTATTGATCTAATGCATTGTGATTTGTTTATAATGAGTCTGCTTCATTTGTTCAATGATTGCTTGTACTACTGCTTGTACTATGTTTTCGAGTCAGTTTTGTGGGTCTTGCAGAACCTCGTTTAGACACCCTCACAGTATTTGAAAGGGTGGATGCTATAGCATGTTGGACTGTATGAATATTTCAAACACATGGGTGTGGTCCCTGAGAAGATAGAAGAGGGTATCTCAGGTGAACCTGTAATCATCTCTCCTATCACGTTACCCTTTCACCTTCTGTCGCTCTTTCCCTGTGGAACATTATGCAATTTTAGGCAAATTATAGTAGACTCTAGAGAATCAATACATGCATGCACATGCCCATAACCCAGGCAGTGAGTTCTATGATCTAGTACCTCAAAGATTGCTATTCTTATATACTATTCTGGGATTATTATGAACTCTTTGACTTTCCTGGAATATTGATAGATGAGTACTAGTCTATTTATTAAGAGCACAGCAATATCAGCAGCTTAAGACCTCCAAATTCATTTTCTGGCAGTGGTTTTTTTCTAGTAATAGTGTAAGATACAGTTTTGAAATGTCGACTTCAATCCTCCTACTCAAACATCTCGGTTACAAGACATCATCTGCTAAACGTTCCTTCTAAAATAATGTCTCGGGTTCTTCCGACTGAATAGATGTTATGGTTCGATTAATAGCCTACTCAGGAACTTAAATTAAAACATAAACCATAAATGTTGACTTAATGCAAAATATGATATCAAGCTTGAACTCACTGTTAACATGTGTAGTGCCTCAAAGTGATGTTTTACTGTTTCTGTAGCCGATGTTTAGCGCAGTAATTATGGCGATATATTTCATTCATGATGTGGAATTTAACCAAATTAGGATATATTGTATAGAGTCAGGCTTCTAAAAGCACAATTGGCCCGACTTTTTCATTTATCTTACTTTAGTGAAGATGCAGTTTCCTGTGTAGGAAAACAGCATTTTTTTAAACAACCAGTGTCAACAGGTTGATTATTTGCGACTTGCTGTATATTGAATTTTCATCTCTGTGGGTCATCTTCAAAGGTTCATGTATGTGTTATTTGTGTTACTTTAGAAGATGATGACGATGCTCAAGATGTTTGTCTCTGAAATGCTGTTCAGTCTTGGTTGTCTTCCTGCAGATAATTTCAAAGTTGGCCATGCTTGCACTAACAAGAGACTTTGAAATGAGGATTTAACTGGCATTTAAGTTTTTTGTCAATGAAATGTTACAACACGCTCATGTTATCAAAGGGGAAATTACCAATATGTGTTATTATTATATGTTTCAGTTTGGCAGTGAAAAGTAGCAAAATATTTACACAAAGTGTTCACTTGTAAGAATTGTTGCTTCTGATCTGCAGGGCTTGGTGCTCAGGATAAAATGTCCTTATATTTTTTTCATCTTTATAGTATCTCAGCTGTGCATAAATGTGGATGAGCATGTATTTTAATTACACTGAGCAATGGTGCTGCTTCTTGAACGAGACGTATGCAGGAGTTGGAAAAATAGGTCTGCGGCTAGACCTCAAACGAAAATGTAATCTCTTAAAAAAGCTTGAAAGTACTACACCGTCAATTCAATATAGGCTCTATTTTTAGTAAACTGCACTGTAGAGTCTGAATGGTTATTACTGTGAGACCCATTTTTTAATCCTGTTTGCTTATGGTGGGAGTAGCAGGAATGTAAGTTACAAAGCTGATGCTCACCATATTACATGTAATCACATTTCGATCTGTTGTGCATAAAACTCCATCTGCTATGAGGGACAAAATCAATTTTAATTTACCTCCCAAACACCTCTATTTTAATCCACTTTAGATGAAAAGTGTATTGTTTTTTTTCTGAATTTATGAACTCCGAAGAGTCACCAGGCTAAATATGTATTAGTTGTGATGTTTTCAGATACAGTATGTACAAATCTACAAAGTTTGCATGATAAGTGTTGGTCGGGGTTATATTTTGATTGTTACTTTTTTCTTTCACCAGTTCTTACTTAAATTGCTCTTATTGTATGATGATGTGGCAAATAAAGGCCTCTCAGTAGAGGCACAAAACAGGCAGTTGTAGAAAAGGATGAATAAAAAAGAGGAATGAACGGTGCCAAGCAATATTGAAAATGGTTGTTGCCTACAGCAGTGAAAAGCACATATTTGCACACAGATGCCATGCATCAGTATAGTTTAGTTTAGATACTCTGAGTTTTTGGAATGAACACCTAAGAATATCTCTTTAAGCATTTAACATGTAGTCTTTGGGGCAAACCAAACCCCATTGTTCAATTTGGGTGCTTTTTACAGATTTTGCAGTGCATTCCAACACTGGGAAATTGCATAGTTGGCACACGGGTGGGAACCACCAGATTTACTCATTGTCCTTGTCAAAATATTGGAGAGGACAGCTGAGGTGGCATGCCTTATTATTGATGAGATGTGCTGTATTGCTAGATTGTACTGTTCTGTGTAGTGGAGTGATTTCTTGACTGAAGAACACTCATTTTTTTCTGGAATTTTGAATGTGTAGCATTCTGTCCAGTGCTGTGACTATCCTGGGATTGAGTGTGAACAGTTTGGTGGGACCTTTAATTGTTTAATGAGATAAAGTGCATTGATCCTTTATATCTGGTTGTGGATAGTCCTAATGGGCTATTGACTCACTAGTGGTGTTGTGGCAGCCTATATTCTGGGCTTATTACAGGCCTGTTTAAGTTTAAGTCTGTATGCCATGTATAAAATGTCTACCGTTTCGGTTTATTTATGATGGACGTGCGCCTTGACATTTAGAGAGCGTCAAACTCTTTATAGACACACCACAAGACGTCTGGACTGATAGCATGGCCTAATGACATTTGAGATCTAAATCTGCTTGTCTTTTATGTTTCTGTTTTTCCATTTACCATCCCCTATAAACTGTGTTTTCTGAATTGCATGCATGCATAAATGACAGTAGATGAAATCATTGTCTGACTCGTTGTACATTTTGTTCCGCATGAGGTACATCTTGTTTCTCCAGCAGTATTTCAAATCGTGGCATTTTGCTTTAATTATACGAAGATGACAGGAACAGCTAATTCATAGTGCAATTCTAACTGAAATCAATAAACTGTCATTATATGTCCTACATGGCGAGAAGAGATCAGACTTTACAGAAAGTGCATTGATGCAGCAATATGCTGAAGTAAAAATGGAACTATTGTAATACGTTTATGCATTATACAACTCCAATATGGTTAGCTAGGGATGGTGGGGATACTTCTTGCATTTCACTCAATTACTCTTTTGTTGAATTTGCACAAGACCAACAAAATTTTAAAAAGTTAAACCCATCTTTTGGTTTATTTCCCACATCATCAAAATGCGTCTAAATATGATAATAAGCTCAAAGTGTATATTTGAAGAGGTTTTACAGTTGCAACAGTGTCCCAGGTCAATTGTAACATCCTTTAAGATGAAGTGCATTGATGCAGAAATATGTTTAAATTAAAAATGGAACCATTGTGATGCATTAAACACCAGTAGGCCTACACTGATGTGCCGTTTTCGATGAACATTTCTTATTTGTAAATACAGTGAGCTTCAGTTTTAGCACTTTTCTATATACAGTAGGTTGAATTCACTCATCACATGAATGTATGGATGTTGCATTTTACTTTATCACAATTTTTTTAACATTAAAATAGTGCTGGGAAGTATACCAGTTCATCCAGTACTCCGGTTTTCATTTCCCATGCAGTATGAATTTTTCATATAGCACCATACCATAGCACAGCTGAAGCAACAGCTGTAACGCTTTAATAGGCACCAAATTATATAATATAATTTGCTGCCAGAAACACTATGGGTCGCTGTGCAGAGTCTGTTGAGAGGGGACCCCTGTTCACTGTGTGTGCCCTTCTTACTCACAGTTATAACTTTTATAATAAAACAATTATCCATATATAGCTGTTCATCATTATAGTAGGACTATTTATAGCTACTAATTCTTTTTTAAAGTGTTTTTTATGTTGTAATGACTAGATATAAGCACGTCCTCTGCAAATTTAGTTGTGCAAGAAAGTGTGCAATGACAGTAGTTATTCTATTCTATTAATTATTAAAATGATATCAGTTAAGCAGATATGTTGTTACCAAGCTAATTTCACAGATACAATAAATAAAACGTCACTATCTAGACCAGGGGTGGGCAATCTTATCTTAATCTTAATCTTAAATTAAAGGGCCGGTGTGTATGCAGGCTTTTGGAGTAACCTTTAGGTCAGCTGTTTGAACCCAGGTGTGAGGACTCTTCAGCCAATCAGTCCTATAAATAGTAATCTGATTAGGGAGTTGCAGCAAAAACCTGCATATACAAGGGCCCTTTATGAATAAGATTGCCCAACCCTGATCTAGCTGAATATACACAAATAATCTAATAAAATATGTTGGGTACTATCATGCTAAATGTAAATGTTTTTTTTTATAGTAATGAAAACATTTGTAAATGAATTGTATTGATTTAAACACTTGTTGCCAAGGTAAGAGTGAACTTAGGGGGGGGAAAAGTAATGTTCTCTGACACCACCAGTATGTTAAATACCGTGATAAATTTTTTCCGGTCATAACACCCAGCAGTACATTAAAATAATATAGGTTTAAAACATACTTTTTTGGTGGTTATGCAATACTAGTTAAACTGTTTTAGTATTGTACAAAGTTGACTTATATTTGATTCAGATTTACTATTGTAACATTAGTTTCTTAATTTTGCTAACTCTTTAGCCAGTATATAATGGTGCTTTATAAGCTTTACGACATTAAAGTCCACACTTTTGTTCCATACAGGTTTATCGCAAGGCCTTGTGCCTTAGGATTACAGATTCAAGGCAATGGACCGCAGAGAGCCCAGCACAATGCCATTCTGGAGAAGGTCTTCACTGCAATCACCAAGGTAGGAGCAGCTTTCGACTGGCAGCTAAATTATAAACATGCAGTTTTACCATCGTTAAATGAACCATCAGTGATTCTGAAGGTGGGTTAATTATCTATCGACCTTTCTGCTGACTGCAGTTCTGTCAGAGCCAGACTTTTTCAGAATACCCTGGCAGGGTAATGCTATAAACCTATTTATTTACAGTGCAGTCAGCATTGAATGTATTTAACATTTCATTAAGCTTCTCCGAGGTAAGTTTTCCAGATCTTATATTCTTATACTACTACAGCGTCAAACAGCATTTCAAATCCCATTAGAGGATGCATATCTTATTGTGGATAATTGTCAATTGGGCCATAATCCTTGCCATTGCAGACCTTAAATCTTAGACCACCCTCCCAACTCTGCTGGTTTAATATGTAGGCCTGTCCCCCGAGGCATTTGGGGTTATTTCTGGCTATGGAGAAGGGGCTTCCTTGGCAACTTTTAATGGGTTCGCTTTTAGAATAACCCAGCATAAGATTGCTCCTCTCCGGAATGCTCACCGCTTCGTGAGACCCGATAGTTCTGTCAGCAGGCGGCCCGTGTTTTGTGCCTGTCACATTTCTGCTGCGAATTCAGCAAGGCTGAGTTCTAGCTCATCCTCACTCGGTGTGTCACTGTCTTCCCAATGTACTTTTATTTTCTTTCTGTGAACATTCTGGTTTTCTGAGAGCACCCCGGTCGGTCAGCGTTGGTGGGTCATTCTACTCAAGTCCACTTATCTCCTGTCCAGCACCCGGACGAGAAGAGGCTGGAGGGCCTTTCCAAGCAGCTTGACTGGGACGTGCGGCCCATTCAGCGCTGGTTTCGACAGCGGCGCAACCAGGAGAAGCCCAGCACCCTGACACTGTTCTGCGAGAGCATGTAGGAGACTCTGTTCGTCCTGTCAGACTTGTCAGGAGTCACCAGCTGACCTGCAGTGGCCACAGAGGTGGTTTTGTTGCGCAAGTTTGGAGTGGTGACTAAAAACCAGCTAAACTGGATTCATTTTTAATTGCTAACAGGAAGCTAAGGGTTCACTGCATATCAATATCAGCCAGTTACTGAAATAATGTAACCCAGAGTATTGCAGATGTTTGATTATACAAGTCATACTGGAAAAGGGCTGAGTTTAGTTGTGACCAATAGGAAGGAGCTTTGAATAACAAATGACAGCAGTTGCTGAGGCAAAGATGATCATTGGGCCAGATATGACCAATGACCGGCAGAGCTCCTTAGAAAATGTAGAGCTCATAAACAGTTATGACCAATGGCACCAAACACTAAAAGCGAAGTGTTGAGCTCCTGCCGTTCGACAAGTAGAGCATTGTGCTAAGCAATGCAAAGGTCATGGGTTCAGATTCTGGGGGGCACACATAAATTGTAACCCTTCTCTATTCTGTAAGTTACTTTGGATAAACCCACCAGATAAATGGGGTAATGAAAATTCCCTATACCAGTATAGCTAATTTAGAAAGCATTTATTTAGAAACCAATTATGTTATAAAGCCAGTAAACATAAATAGGCATTAAGAAGACCTCTTTTGGAAAGTAGGTCTCACGGAGATGTAATGAAGCCACCTTCGTAAGCACAGAGCCCGGGTTTCTCTTTCTGGGAGAGTTTGCACAGCCAGCAGTAAATTTCCATCACTGTCTCAGAAGGATACGCAGACACGTCTGACCCGTCACACGGCACCGGGAAAGCCGTCCTGATGCTGTCAGACATGTTTGAGGGCAGCAAGCTCCTTTAATTCCTGCCCCAAGGGCTTATCTCTGAGCCTGCTTCGCAGACTTGGGCAGAATCGGATGGCCGGCATACTTGAGCGATCATTTGGGTTTGTGCTTTCGAGCACAAGGGCCAAATGTTGATAGAAAGAAATCCTTTGCACCTGTGATTGACTGATTTTATTTATTTACTCACTAGCTACCTTTTTATTAGCTGTTTTAGCCATTCATACGGCACTTCAGATGCGAGCAGTAGGTTCTTAGATGTCTCAATGCACGTTTGTTTCTTAAGGAAATTCCATTTATGGATAATTCTGTAGTGAAAACACGTTAGAAATCTTCAGCTTTTTTTCCCCCCTTTCCCTCTTGTTTGTGTCAGTGGGGTTAAAAAATGGGGCCCCCACATCATCAAGATTGAATTAGCTGCTCAGTGTTATGGCTGTACAAACTGGTGACAACAGAAATTAGCAAAAAATGAAGAAAAACCATTGACATAGCTAGAGCGAACTGGGCTATTTGGGAGTGATCCCAAATATCGAAATTAGTGTCACTCTTTAAGCAGTAAGCGACTGAAAAGTCTCAGTCTCTATTAGACATGTTTTGCCAGCAGTGGGGAAACTGCAGGAAATAGGGGGGGGGGGGGTCGTGTGAGTGAGTGAATGGGGAGTGGGGCGGGGAGCGCCCAGTGGGCTAAGCATATGGCTGTAAGCTCCAGCAACACTGGGAAACTGCAGCGCTTTCCATTACATGCAGAAAGAGGACAGACCAGGCCGTGATCTCACAGCACCTCTAGGGCTACGTCTTGATCTTATTTATTTTAAAGCTGCATTGTGGATTTTGTAGGCTGGAAGTCGTCTCTGTGGGCCCACCTTTCCACATAACCTTGCATCAGTGTAGTTTACATCCTTATATATTAAAAAGGAGTCCAAATTAGGCTGGGATTCTTAAATTATTGTTGGAACAGATCCATTTTGCATAAATTCATTGCTGTGGACGGCTGGCTGTTGCATTAATCATATTAACATATGCTGACAGTTAGTGATGCTCCGATTGATCGGCCACCGATCATGATCGGCCGATATTGGCTAAAAATAGCTTGATCGGTGAACCCCAAAAGCGCCGATCAAAAAAGCCGATCACTTGACGTAAATTACTCGCGACTTTTTCACACGTGCATGCACGGCGCACAGGTAAACAACAGCAGAGCGGAGCTTACTAGTGGGAACATGAGTTCTCCCGTCTGGAAGTTTTTCAAAGTGTCCGATAAAGACGTAAAGTTAGCCGTTTGCAATGTATGTCGTGATGAAATCCCTCGAGGTGGAAGCAAGCAACGGCATTTTAACACCACTAACATGATTAGGCATCTTAGAACACACCATACAACTGAATATGCCGAGTATGAGAAACTAAACCACTCTGCTCTCTGGGAACATTTCATGTGTTGACCCTGGAGGCGTCAGGCGACAGTGCTGACCAAAGTGTCACTGCCCCTCCTTCAGTGTGGGGCGCCAAGTGTCAAGCGCTTGATTCTTCAAGATCTTGACTGTAGCCTATTTCTACAGTTTTTAATTTTTTTTTCAATATAGTTAATTTAGAGTTAGTTTCATTTCTACAAATGGTGCAAACTCTGCTAGATTATAGATAAAAGATTCCCATTCCCCTGCCATTCTGTGATCGGCAGTGATCGACAATCGGCAGATCATGATCTTGGTGATCGGTAATCGGTGATCGGCCCCAAAAATGCTGATCGGAGCATCTCTACTGACAGTAATGCATTTTGGTGGCATGAAGAATTGGGATCGTAATATTAAAAACAAATGATTATGCTGCCTCTTGCAGGGGGAGGGTATCGATGCTGGATTGTCCTGGTGGTATCCTGTCAATATGAATCTGGCTATTTTTCAAAACTTCTAACATCTTAATTGCTAGAAAAGAAGCAGGGCCCTTAGCTCAGGGGAGGTAAATGTCCTGGTGTGCATCGAGAAGAGACTCTGTGGTTGTCAGTTACACCCAAGTAGTAAACACACTTTCAAGTCCCTCTGAGGTTTATTTCCTGTGCTTCTATTATTTTTGAGGCCAAATTGCTTCCAGCTTCTTATCAACATCTGAAAGGCTCAGGCTTTGGCACTTTGTCAGATATGGTTTTACCCTGTTTGATATCACTGGGCGGTTATTTTTTATTTTTTTTTGCGGGGGTGGGGGACACATTTTTGAAGCACACACATGTGGTGGTCCATGACCTGCCTGAGGCGTCTTTACTCCGAGTGCACGGGTTACCTCCCACTGTCCTAGGACATGCAGTCCCCAACAATGTGATAACCTGCCATTTTGATGTTGTGGGGACCATTTTTCAGGTTCCCACAAAGCTCTGAGAATGCAATCAAAAAGCTAAAAATGATATAAAAAAAAACCTTGTATTTCATTTGGTTGCTTATGGTTGAGGTTAGGGCTGGGTAGGGGTTAAGGTTGTGAAGTTAGGATTAGAGTTTTCCCCATAGAAATGAATGGAGAGTCCCCACAATGATATGAATACAAATGTGTGTGTGTGTGTGCGTGCATATATATATATATATAGAGACAGAGAGAGAGAGAGAGAGAGAGAGAGGTCTGCTCTGCCATTTAGGATGTTCCCTGTGCTTCACTGTGGACATTGAGGAATCAATATGTTATGTCTGGTTTAAGACTAAATATGGCGTCAGAGGATTTGACTGAAATCGTCGATGACAGTCTGGACTTCTAAAGGAAATGAAGAGAAGGCAGGCCTTGGGATGAGCAGCATCACTTTGACTATCTAAGTAGGGTTTGCTTGAGTAATGGCGCCCCCTTTGGGGGCTGTGGGGCAGTGCATTGGGATACAATGACGAGGCAACTCCCCCAAGAACACAGACCTTGAGAAAGCAAGTTGTGGCAGCATATGTGCAGTCTGACACCCTGAGAATGTTGTAGCCTGCAACAGAATTGTGTGCTTTTTATAAAGATGCACCGTGCACAGAGTGGGAATTACTGTGGGGAAACTGTCATTATATTGTATCATCAGTTCTAAGCCCCAGCTTGAAATTAAAAGATATTATCACCTGACAGCTTGATGGGAGGCTCTCTGACTTGGGTTGGCTGACCCGTATGTGCCTAAATCCGGAATTTGTTAAACCAATTAACAAGTAAACCATCATAATGTCTGTTTCACTCATCCCACTGTAGCTCATGGTTTGGGGTTTGGTTGATGATTTATGTTTCTTTGTTGTTACCAAGCAACAAGAAGCAGTCCCTCTTCAAGGAGTCAGTTCACTAAGTTCAGACATTATCCAGGATCCATTATCCAGGACTTAGGTGGCCAGGCTGTCATAAAGCAGTGATCCTGCATGGTTTTCCTGGGTGGGTGAAGGAAAAATTCACAGGATGCTTGTGGTTGAATCTGGAAATGCTCCCTTACCCGTTTTGCAGTATAAAAACAGGGGGCAACTAACTGTCTCAGGTCACATGGCCGTCGGGTGCAACAAAAAGCTGTCCTTGGAAACACTCCCTTATCCATCATCATTTTGAGTCATGCAGCTTGACACAGTAATGGAATTAATGACAAAGCTGAAAGCTTCTACTCATACAAAGAGAACTTGGTTCATACTGTGTTAGCAAACATCACCATGAAGCAATTTACAGATATTGGTATTCCTATCTTTGGCATGTATTTTTTGTTTTTTACAATTTTTTGCACTTATTAAATCTTTTTTTTTTTAAGTATAGCCTGAATCATCCCCAGAAGCCTCAGATAAGTACCAAACCTTCAGAACTTTTCCTTTCTTTGAAATGTACACTTAAAAATGCACGTAAAACCTTTGCAATACTCATATTCAGTGTCCAGTATTCAGCACAGTTCAGGCCAGAGAATGACCTGAAAAAAAGGGAAAGTTTATATGCACCATGAAGGGCTCCATGTACAGTGATGGCTTGGTAGAGCATCAGAAGAAGTGTGTTTGCAGACCCATGTTCGCTTTGTGGCCAGTGGCAGATTCTGGCAAGGGCATGACAGGCTTCTTCTGAACCCAGCGCCCCCCCAACCCCCCAACCCCCCAACCCCAGGGTGACCAACTTTTACTGTTGCTACTTTAACTTAAGTAATAAAAATCTGAAATTATAGCAGTGTTTCTAAAATATAAACATGATTGTTAGACAAAGCAAATGATATTGGTTCCTGACTGAGTATTGTGATGTGATATCTAGCAATCAGCTGTTTAGGCTGTATATGTAATATCATGTCATCAACAACATTAGTCAAATCTCAACATGCTTCGCGTGGTGTGCAGGCTTTGACTATTTACAAAAAAAAAATGAAGAGGAGGAAGGTCATGTCGGAGTAAACAAGTGTTCTGTAGTCATGTGTCTGTAATATGCGTCTGTTTCAGTGAATACGGCCTATACTTCTGCCCTGAAATAATGACCCTCCCTCAGATCGGGTCTGTGGTCCATGGTTTTGTTGTACATGTTCAGTGACAAGAAAGGTATCATGGGGTATTGTGAACCCCCAAAATCCACCTCATTTATTTTAATGTAATATTTTTAATAAAGGTGCTCGTCTTAAAACAAATTCTCCCCCAGGGGCATGACAGTGGATTGTCTGCTTACCCCCCGCTCTATCCTGCATGCTCCCTGGTCAGATCTGTTCTGGCGCTAGCGTTTACAATAAAGATATTCTATTCTATTCTATTCTATTCCAAAGACAGAAGAAGGACCCGTCAAAAGCCCCGAGCACTAATTTGAGGCCTAAGAGGAGACTAACAGCTGTAATGTCTCCTAGCCTGTAACGTCTTATTGGCTGAATTCCACATTTTTTTTTTTTCAATACAGGTGGAGATTCACGTATTACCTCTACATATTCACCTACGGAGTACAATTCCTGAACAAAGTAAGGGCAAAAATTTTCAGTTCAAATTTCAGACTGAAAAAATTAAACTTTGTTCATATTTGAAATGTCCTGTCATGCTGTCACACAGGAGTTCTGCATAATTGCATCAGCCTGGTTGAATCTGAATGGTAGAATCTGTAGACTGTTACGTGCGGTTTAGCAGAATTACAGTACTTGACAGCTTATTAAGTGTATTGTTATTTTTCCTTTTGTGTCTTTTATTGAAAGAATCTGCATTAAATGGCCAAGTCAAAAATCAAACTTGCATTATGTGAAATTGTTGAAAAACAAGGCAGGCTGAGGTTATGGTGAGTGAATATCACTGTGTGAAGAAGACCCCTCGACAAGGCTTCACCCAAACAGGATCCAGAGCCGAATACTAATTATGAAAGATACGCCCATGCTTGTCAGCGAGCTCAGTCTCATGTTTCTGCATTTATCGACTGACCATTCGGCACGGCTAAGGAGGAGTTATTTATTTATTTTGGTGGCAGATTTAAGGGATGAAACGTGGTCGGCAAATCCACTTTTAATTATTCATGCTGATATTTCCAGCGCGTATTGCCTTTCTATCTTGTGAAAACTTACAAAAAAATGAAGGAAACGGAGGATCGGTCTGGCCAGTATCGGCCAGTCGTGCCTGTGCATCCTAACTAGCGGGTTTGCAGAACCGCGAGCACCTGTATGTAAGCGCCGCGGTGAAGCCTCCTTAGCCGCGGGGCACCAGCGCCTCTGCCACAACGACCAGGGGCCCCATCACTGTCGTTCCTGCAAGACATCTGCACAGCTTAATGTCTGAAACGTTTTATTCTTATTTTAAATAATTGTTAGCCTTTATTTTTGCTCATTTTTTTTTTACTTATCTGCCTTAGGATTAAAATATCATCTTTTAAATTTCAATGAATTCTCCATAAATTTTTATTTTAAGTAAAGTGTCATTTCAATTGCAATATATGCTAAAAACCATTCTCAGAGAAAATGGCTGAATCATAAGGGGTTTTTTTTTATGTAAACTTGCATTGTATTTTTGACATTCCATTTTTTTTATTGTTGTGTCCCTGCTAATTTATCCAGAAGTGCGTTACTTCAGTACAGGTTTATCTGACAATAGATGCAGGTGCTTGAAACAAAGGTTGCCATGGGGGTCGAAAAAGCCCCCGCAGGCAGGAAACGTGGCTTTTGACTGGTTGTTAAGCAACAGAAAGCACAATTTTATCAAGTGGTTCTGAATGTCTCGGACTGCTTTGAGAGTCATCGCGGTCATCAGTGGGAGGGAATTAGAGGTGAGTTTTTTTTTTGCCCATAACTAAAACAAGCTTACAGAGGGGGAATGTGACCATATCACACAGATATTTGGGAATGGGGTAGCATCATAATCTACAGTGCAGCCTTTCGTAAGACTGATAGAGTTAACCAGCTCCTCAAGGCCGTTGTTCAGTCATTCGCTCATCTGTACCATAACTCTGGCGGATACGTGTTTCATCCGGTTGAATTCTGTCAAGAAAATTACAGGGCAGGCGGTCCATTCCCCAGCACAAGCCTATAGAGTACTGTCCTTGAAATAATTCTGTGTAAACAATCATGGCCCAGAGATGACATCATCTTGTAGGCTGAAAGGATTTCTCCAGACAATTGGTTCATCCTTGAAACTCCCCTTCTGTAACTTACAGCCATCTACAGTCAAAATGCTATGAATTATAATCTTGCTATGTGTGGAAGATAATCAGGATCAGGCTTGCAAGGTATTTTATACTCGTGTTAATGGAAATGGTAGTAAACAATAAAAATTTCACAGTAAGTCCATCCTAAAAATACACGACCGAGTTAGTTATTAACTTGAAGTGGTGTGACCAGTCACCAGATTGGGGGGGAAGAGGTTGGGGGTGTCAGAAGACCATATGCATACTCATGCAGGCCGCTCGTCTAAATAATTAAAGTTCTTTGCATTCAATATTGACAGTATAGCAGATTCTGCTCCACTTTAAAGGCCGCAGTGGTTCCTTAACTCTGCTTCCTTGACTTGGTGTAACACGGCTGCTCTAGGAGGTTTTGATTTATTGTTATGAAATTTTATGAAGTAAAAGCTACAATATATGGGCAGTTTATGTCACGGATGTCACAGCCCAAATTTGTGGTGCAGGGTGACACGTTTCGCTAAGCTCATCCAGACCGACAAACATCGGAATTTTCACTCCCAGGCTACTGATGTGCCGAGTCTTTTACTCTATACTGATACCAAATGCTGTACTATGATCACTATGTAATTAATTGCCAAAGTTTGTAATGTTTATTTTGCTAACAACCAAACATCTAGTATCGAAACCTGAATAGAATTGTGTATCATGCTGTAACACAAGTCTGCATTTGCCACATCCCGTTTTCCTTTCTTATGAGACTGTTATGACACTGTTATGACACTGTCATGAGACTGTTTTTACATCTATATTCATGTACCCTCTCTCTTTCCTATTGAGACCACATGGATATGGAATACCAAATACTGCTGGTACAGTTACCCTTATCAGGTGAGAATATTGATATTTTTCAGTGTCTCCTCTAGTAAAAGTCCACCTTTGGAGCTTCTGTTAATCCAGGTCTGCTTATGTGTCTTGTTTGATTCATTCACAGCCTCTGACTGTGGACCTTCACTACTACTATGTCCTCCAGCTTTCCTTCTATTTATCCATGCTGTTCATGCAGTTTACAGACATCAGGAAGAAGGTACGGCAGCTCATCCTGGCTCGGACCTCGCGAATTCATAAATAGCGCATGTTTCTGATCTATATTCCTAGAAGAACTTCCCACATCTCCAAACCAATAGGTGAATGTCATTAATTTATGATGCAGTTCACTCGTGTCCTCGACCCAATATCTTCATGATAATTGAAAGGTGCATTTTTATATATTTATGAAAATGTGTCTGATACCGATGTTTCATCTGGCATTTCTGGTCCATTTGCTGCTCACTGCGGTTTGTTTTTCTTTAGTTTTTTTTAATTTTTATTCTCTGGAATAAACAAGTTGTCCCTGACAACTGCTCTGGTCTTGAATATTTAAGTTTTCTTGGCTTTTATCTGGAATGCTCTCTGTTCTTTTGTACACTATAAAGATATTCGGTTTAATAATGAAAATCCCTGTACGGGTGTCAAAGTGTGCACTTCCACAAAATGAAATTAATTATCTGTACCTTTTTATGTCTAGAACAATTTCTCTAAGTTTTTTTAAGTTTAGAACTTTAGTTAGACATTTAAATGGGGTTTTAATTAAGATTTTTATATTTTGCCTCTTAAGTCGTCATTTGTAAAACTGTAGTTCTCCACGTTCGTGGATGGAAATTCTGCTTTACCTTACCTTGGCTCTCATCTGCATTGTGTGAGTAGGATTTAAGTGAACATCCTTGGCACTGCTGACAACTTGCCCATAGTGAAAGTTCAGTTTTGTTAAAAATCATGCCACGTATCAGGGCAACGGTATGAATAGCCTCCAATCTTCTAGCCTCTTATCCTATGCAGCATCGTGGGAGGAATATACAAATTTTTGTAATTAAAATTCCAAATCCTGTCTTGGTTCTCTGCCTCCCTATGAAGCCTTTTGCACTATCATCCATACTGTGCTTCTCTACACTGTTTCAATCACCTATTACTGCAACCTGATCAGACACAGTACCTAGACTGGAGAGGAGTAGGGCCTGAAACATGCTGAGATGTGAGAGCAGAGACACACTGGCATCCCATATTAGCTGCCCCAGCTGTCTCCCCTTCTGCCAAATGAAAAAAGAGACCTCACGGATCCCCAGAGATGTTCTAGAAACCAGAAAGAGGTTATTTTAATAGTCATGTCATGGGGGCAGGGCAGTGTGTGGCATAGTGGGTTGGGACATTGTGCCTGTGATCCAGAAGGTTGCAGGTTCAAATCCTGTGGTTGGCATAGGGACCCCACTGGCCTTTGAGCAAGAAGCCATTTAATTCAAGGATTCAGTCTGACTCTACTTTCTCAAATGTGCATCACTTTAGATAACAGCATCAAATAAATACATGTACATACTGTATAGCCATGTTAAGAAAGCCCCTGTTTCCCACAATTAAACATTGTACTCTCCAGGTTTGAGGCCAACATAAACAAGTCCAGCCCATCCTCCTGTAACTCTGCAGACAATGGAAATGTCACTTTCTGTGTATTGACATTCCGTCACCTTTCTTTGGTTCATGGCAGTTTTTTTACTTTTTGAAAATACCATGAATGAAATGGAATGTGATCATATCATGCTGGTAATTGCAGAATTGTAAAGGTCTTGTCAACACAAAAAAGGTCTCTAATGTTCGCTGTACATGTGAACTAAGTCTGTTTCCCTCAGATTAATATAATAAAAGTACCTTTAACCGAGGGCCCCTCTCCTGCTCTGTCTGCTTCTCCCAGGACTTTTTACTCATCCTGATGCATCACCTGGCAACCATTTTGCTGGTTACCTTCTCCTATGTTAATAACATGGTGCGCGTGGGATCCCTGGTCATGTGTCTCCATGATGCTGCTGACGTCCTGATGGAGGTGAGCCCTCCTGTGTGTCTGTACCCGTGTGTCTGTACCTGTCGGAGACGGCAGGATCTGCGTGGTGCTTTTCAGGACATGTGTCACATGGGCCACACAGTGCATTTATTAGTATTATTCATTATTATTATTATTCTTGTTGTTATTATTACCATTATTATTATACACAATGTGTTAATATCGTGATGCTACCCATGATGCATTTTTTGTATTTTTGAAATTACCTAGAACAATTGTTTTAAACAAAATAGTGCCTTTCCAGGGGCGATGTCTTATACATCCATCTCTGTTTTTAGGCTGCTGACTTGAGGAGAGGGTTTTAGGTTAATTGTGCAGCCTCTAGATACCCCCTTTAATTTATATTAACGTGTTTATGTTTTATGCATTTGCAGGCAGCTAAAATGGCGAACTACGCAAAATGCCAAAGAGTATGCAATGTCATATTTGTCATGTTTGCGTTGGTCTTTGTAAGTTCCAGACTGGGTGTTTATCCTATCTGGTAAGTGAAGTACAATGATGTATTTACCTCCATCCATCCACCCACCCACCCATCCATCCGTCCATCCATCCATCCATCTTCCCAGGTTGCAGGGAGGGGTCTGGAACCTATCCCAGAATAATGGATGCAATGCCAGTCCTTCACTGGCCACACTCATACGTTCATAATCATTCACAATTTAAAGGTGCCAGTTGGCCTAATTATGTATCTGTGGGCTGCGAGAAACCAGGGAACCAAAGGAAACCCGCAGCACACGGGGGAGAACGTATCCCGCAAACGCGCAGCACACGGGGGAGAACGTATCCCGCAAACGTGCAGCACACGGGGGAGAACGTATCCCGCAAACGCGCAGCACACGGGGGAGAACGTACCCCACAAACGCGCAGCACACGGGGGAGAACGTACCCCACAAACGCGCAGAGCACGAACTGGATTCGCCCCCCCTTAAGCTGACAGCCATCCTGCCACATAATGTCTTTGATGTAAAGCTACTTAATTTGGGATGCCCACTCTTAGATGTTAATCTTCCGGGAACCATCAGTAGTTGCATATGAATGTCCGCCACACTCTTCCTCTACTCGCCTGATGCCTGTTTACCTTCCCTGAATGTTCTTATGTTGCACTTCTGGTCCTTGAATAACCTTATTAGTGTAGCTTCTGCCCCAATACTGCTTACACTTGTACCTGGGGATTCATTGGAAGCTCAGCCTAGCTAAATGAATGCCGAGTTTGCAGTGAGCTACGTGCCTTACTTGCTTCGCTTTGGATAAAAGCGTCTGTTAAATATTTTTTAACGTATGCCATCAGCCCTGTTATTGTGTATTCTTGTGTAAAGGTCTATCGGTGGTTTCTAACAGTGGGTTAAATAGAAAATATATAGGGTGGCTTCACACCTCTGAGACTGAAGTGCGGGTTTGAATCCTATCTCCACTGTTTATGGCTTTTGCATGCGCTTGACGGGTCTCTTCTGCTTTCGTCCCCAAAACGTGCAGTTTGGTGAATTGCTGTGTCTGAAATGCCTGCAGTGAAGGATTTCGATGGCCTGTCAGCCAGTCGCCAGTGCACCCCTGCCTTATGACCTATGCTGGCTGACTTAAGGGCCAGGCCCCTCCCAGTGACCCTGCATTGGATAAATGGTTTTAATGGTTTATTATGGATATTAGCTCATTTGGAAGTTTAAGTGCAAGGTATATGCATTTATACTCGTCAGGGACATTGATGCTTGTATGCATATTTGTATTTTGTACACTCACCTCTTCGCTGACTGGCAGTGAGACAGAGCCAGGCTACAGTCACGGTTTCCTAGGTACCCAGCAAATGCTGCCTTCTGCATGCACCCACATCAGAGACGGATCCCCCGTCCGACCTTTGCAGGTGTGGGTTCGGTAGCTGAATATGAGGGACTTTCCTGTTAGCCAGTGTTGAGACGGAGCTCACTGTTTGCACTGTTTGGCTCTTACTCAGCGTGTCGCACGGGGAGGGTGCGAGTCAGCGGGCAGCCAATTGTGAAAAGCCATCGACGCTGAGGACTACTGACAGTTATTTTTCCCAGCAATGTATGTCATATTATTTGTGCTCTTACTGCACCCCAGTCAATTCTAAGCAGCTCTGCACTATAAATTGGGGGGGGGGTCTTCTCATTTATTGCATTTTAGTGAGCCGATACCCAAGCTGTATTTAACACGCTCCAGCTGCAGAAAGCAAGAAGGTACATTTCCTTAAACTTCCTCGTGTGCTAAAGTCCTGAGCGATACGTGCTGAATTCCAAGCATGTAGCCAAAAATAACTGTCAGGGGGTGTCCGGCCACCCCACCGACAGGATTTTGGCAGCAGGGGGTTCAAACCTCAGGGTGGGGGCGGGGTGTGGGTTCAAACCTGTAGTTTTACTACCTGTCTACTTACTTACTCAATAAACAGGGGTCTCATGAACCAACACAGGAGAGCGACAAATCATGCTAACATTCAATGATGTTCGGGGCGGATGGTGGCATCATGTCTTTCACAAGATCTGTAAGAACCTCTGAGATCTTGATTTCATTATTTTAATCCCCGTGTCCTTATTTTTTGATTATTTTGTTGAAATGCATGCTCAGTGTAAACCAGCACGATTCTGTTGCCATGGTTTCAAAACTTGGGAAGGAAGGATTTTTTTTCCCTTTTTTTTATTGTTGTCCTCAGAAGGTACATGACTGTGTATCATACCCTGGGGAGAAAAACCCATTTGTCCTCTTCTTTTAGGCACAGAAATTTTAAATATTTCTAATTAAGCATGTAATGAATAAGAAATTTATCAAGCACAGTACATATTTTGCTTATTGTCATACATAATGAAACATAACTTAGGAGTATTTCCAAAAAGGAAGCTTTCATTAAATATAACCATGACCATGAGCAAATCCTACTGCACAATTGTGTACACTGACCAACAGAACATATTTCATATTACTATTTTTTTTTCATGGTCACATTGTTGGACATCATGTGTAATTCACTGACCATAATCTGTAATACAAGAGAAAGAAATTTCAGAAAAATTTACCTTTACCTTAATATTAAGAAAAATGCTTGACATTGTGCACATGTGTGCATCAGTATATGCCACAGTGCAAGGTCACATCACAAAGGTCAGCGACTGTTGTTTCTTTCCTTTAGGGTTTTAAACACCACCTTGTTTGAAAGCTGGGAGATCATAGGCCCGTACCCTTCCTGGTGGGTGTTCAACTCCCTGTTGCTGCTACTCCAGGTGCTGCATGTCTTCTGGTTTTACCTCATAGTGAGGCTTCTCTGCAGGGCTGTCTCTAGGGGCAAGGTGAGTGCTTAGCATTCCCGCATTATGCACAACCGGTGCAGTGTTCCTGCACAACCTCCAGGTGGCGTTACGTGGAATTTGGGAATGACGAATTGATGTACTTACTAGGAGATATGTTGTACTGTGTTATGAATAGTACATATTTACCAGTATATGTACTGGTGAGTAATGCAGACAAGTTGTTTGACTGTAATCTAAGTATGGATGATAAATAAATAACAACTGCCACTGAATATGGCAATTAATAATTACTGTAACTAAATACTGGTAATTGAAAAGTAAATTTTCAACGTTGTTAAACACTAACCGTTTACGTTCACAAGCGCTACAGAGATGTTGCGTGGATGCTACCATTGCTCGGTATCGGTAGAAAATGTCGTACAGCATATCGCTGGCCTGGGAACAGATAAAAAAATCAAGGTTGAAAAAGATGAATGTGCACCATCGTAAAGTGGAAATCTCATAAGTCAAGCCATGGTAAAGTGAGGAGCATCTATATCTATTGCATTGGTAGAAGTTTACTGGGTAATAACTGAATGTTTAATCGTTGCTAATTAAGAAGACATCTTTAAGACAATGAAACTGAATGGATTTGTATGTTTACCTCAGCAACACAGCAGAGGCAGTGAATTTGTCATGTGATCATAGGTGAGGACAGTTACTACGGCGTTCCTATAACACGCTTTTACATTTCTTTTTCTCTTCAAAGGCGGGGAAGTGGAATCCCTTACATGTAAGTAGGACAGGAAGTCCAACCTCAGTATTTGACTGCAAGTAACACTGCTCCTTGAGATTCTCCATTTACCCATTCAGTACATAATATTTTAGCACTCTTGTTAATTTAGTAATTCATAAGCATGAATTTTTGTCAGTTCACGCTTATTAACTTTTTATAGATTGAAACACAGTAAAATAGCTTTTTGAGCAATATAGAACTTTTTTGTTCACATTATAAACACACTTTATCAGCACTTTATAAATCATCCCTATGTTTTGTGGACCTTTCCAGTCATCTTCCAGGATGCTGTGATATCATTTCCTTTGTGACGCAGCTAAACAGAGACCTTGGACATGAGCAGTCTCTTCGCTGTGTCTCACCCAGGTGTCGAAAGACGCCCACACTCACACAGAGTCCAGCTCTGAAGAGGACGACGTCCCCGTCGTCGCTCAGAAGCTCCAGCACGGCACTACCGACGCTACAAACGGGACCAACGGCTATCTCCCGGGACCAGGGTCTCTGGACGAACACTGACTAGCCCTATCTGTGGAAGTTACTGCAGACATCACTACTCGATGACCCCCCCCCCCCCACAGCTGTAAGGACCATTTCACACCCGAAGCTCCTGGCAGCATTTGCTAAGACAGTCTGGATTTCCCTTTCATGTTTCCTTTCTCATTAATTTCTCGGTTTATATACTTCAAGTCAAATTTAAATAGACCATTGAAGCATTCTTGTGCAGCGCCTCTTTTTACAATCTAATGAAGGCATCCCAGATCTTTCATGCACACCGGCTGTGTATTGATATTTGACATTGCAGAAATGGGGGTTTTTGTTCACTTTTTTAATGTTATTTATTCTTACATGTTCAAAAACTGTTGACAGAAGGGATTTTATTTTGTTTCCAATGCATTTTAATCACTGGATTATCAGTGGCGCTGCAGACTGAGATCACAATCTGGCCACTGTTTTATTCAGTATTCAGTCAGTTCAGTTCAGTAAAGCCGATATTGGTCATGTCTCTGGTTGATCACACAAGGTACAGATTACTGCCCCCCCCCCCCCAATCGATTTGAGATTTTAAACATTTACAGTTCTAATCTACTACTCCGATTTTTTTTATATATAATTATTTTTAAAAGGGTAGCACTAATATAACAGTATTATTTGTATGTATTTCATAGAGATACATTTATGACTGTTACATAAAGCTTCATCAAACAGTTGTAAACAGTAAATGAAGTCGGAAAGCTTTTCAAATGCTTTTAATTTGTCATTTACTGTTGTTATTCTGACATGACTGACTATCGCTATGATTATTATAGTTATTGGGAATGACTTGCTGTTATTTCAGAAGAAATGTAATTATCCTATTAAAGCATATTTGCTAGTGCTTATCCAAGACATCAAAAATCAATGGTCTGTAACAAAACAATGTATATCTTTTTGGTCCAAAAGATGAAAATATGCGCAGCATATTAATCAGTAGCGCACTGAAATTTGTAGGAAGACATGTTTATTGCTTTAATTTGAATTAGTCAAAACAAATTTCTAATTTTAAGAAACGTCGCCTTGAGATTGCCAATCTTCCTGTCTGCTGTTACCAAGGTCGCCATCATGAGAGTCATTGCTTTGCAGATTCCCCCGATCCGCTCAGATCTAGCCAGCTGTAGTTGTGAAATGCTGCACTCTGTGTATTATACGCTGTCACCCTTACTATTAAGTAGTCATTCTCCAAATGAAGTAAGTGGTCAGGACAAATTCCAGGCTCTCTATGCACCGTATGTTCATGTCACCCCGACTGAAATTAGCATAACATAACATTTACCTGCCATTTCCTCAAGAAGACCCAAGAGTCTGTGAATAAATCAGTTTGCAGTGGGTTGGTGTCGTACTGCTTTCACTGAAGCTGCCTGGTTGTTCTTCACCGTTTTTATTTGTCATATACATTTTCTTCTCTGAAGCCAGCACTGGACTTTGTGTTCTATCAGCTCATTGCCAGGACCAGATGTGTCTCTGCATGCTGTGTGATGTGGTCAGTAGTAATACAGATTTATTATCCAATACCTTGGGTGCCTTTTTTCAGCTTGTTTTGATCCACCCATCTGCTTTCAATAATCACTTAAGCACATTATTTTGCACATACCATGATACAGTACCTCATTTCTCCTGTTTGTTTTTAGGCAGATGGATAAACTGTCAAATCCTGCTTGTAACTAAGTGTGTGGTGGGTGTGTGTGTGTTTTGAAGACTCTCCCTTGCTGCTACAGTTGTACAGTATAAACACAGATATTCTCCATCTCTCACTGGACTCCAGGAGCAGATGTGCAAATAGCTAATCATGCATCAGATGTCCACCACTGAGACGTATCACCTGCTGCAAAGATGATCTCAGTGTTTCACACCCATAAAACTGATAGGATACCAATGAAAACGTATTGCTATACATTTTGAGTAAACACTTTTAGGCCAACATGCCACTTACTTCCATGTGTTTTTAAAGCCTTATTCGAAATTTCTTCTTGATCATATTACAAAAACATTGTATTTACATTTACCAGGTATATTTACAGATGGTGTGTATATAAATATACAGTTCAGTATAGACTTGCAAGGTTTTATTCATCACCTCCAGATTACATGTCATAAGCTGTAGTTGATTTGAAGTTAACATAGATTCTATTAATTATGTACCTTTTAGAATGAAATTGAATAAGAAGTCAAATAATCACAAGATAATTAAGTGGGTTTCATGTCCCACATCCTAATAATCTATATTTTAAACACCAGTACGTCAGTTACAGATTTTTAAGCATAACCCAGTGACAGATGTGTAATGTGATTTTGGCAGTGGAAGTAAAAATTTTAGATTGCGGAACTGCTTATATTAATATATTAATATATCAACAGTTTTGATTATGTGTACAATTGACTTTGGTTTTGAAATGCAAATAGTTTTGGTAGAAGACGCAGAACTGAGTCCTCTTGTGTTATTTCACTGTAGAGAGCATAGTGGAGGGTTAGGGGACAAATGAGCAGCTTTTATACCCAGATGGAAAGTGCCAGTGGAGTAACAGGGCTATATGCATGTAAATAACTTCCGCATGCATGACTGGAAGGGTGGTCAAAGTTTCAAAGTGCAGAGTCAATAAAACGGCCCAGACGGAAGCAAGATGAAGGACCCACTCAACGGATGCACAGTGAGTATTCCTGCTAAATTTATTCTTTTTTAGGAGAAATCTTTTCATGTGTTGAGGGAAAATCAAACCATGTGTTTCAAGCTAATGGAGTTTACCCCTGACTCCTGAAGTGAAGTTACTCCGGCAACCTCTGATGTGGTTCCGCATGTCTGGCTGTGTTTTACAGTACAACCTGCTGTACCAAGACCTTAAGAAGTTTTCAAAAAATGGAGAGTATTTCTGCAAGGAACTTATGTCAGTCTTCCAGCAAAGGTATTCACATTGGATTGCTGTTATTTATTTATTTAGCAGGCTGATAAACAGGTACTGTTTATAAATTATGATGTGCTCAGTGATATTGTGAGAGAATTCTGTGTAGCAAAGACACTGAAAAAAACCCACAGCGCACTGGGGATCTGAGCCTTTGAGTTACTCTTTAATAAACCCAGTTACTTTTCCACTTGTTCTTCCTGCAGGACTGAAACATGTTTTTCCAGACTCTAGTCTTCTTACCAACCCAACAGAGCCTCCTGCCACAACGCTTAGTGCAGCAACAAAGCTTTGAATTACTGGATTTCAAAGGGTATAAAAGGAGAGCAAACCTGAGAGATTAGACAAATGGGCTTTTGTTTGCATTAACAGAATTTTTCAGCAAGGTGGTTTGATAAGGTTACTGGTCATGAAAGTGATTACAATGCGCCATTTCCTATGGACTGTAGCGGAATTGTGTGGTGGAGAAAATTAGACCTTTCCTTATCCTTTTTGTCCTGCTTCAGAATTAGGAAACAAGCCAGGACTTATGCCAAACGGAGAAAATGATTAACTTTCAAAATCCTCAGCTGCCAAATAAAATTGAATTGTATTAAATCCGTACAGCTAGGCCACCTGAAGTGTATGTTTTGTTAGCTGTTAATAAAATTGCGTCGTGGACCTTGATCTGAATCTCGTTACAAGTCGTATCTCAGACATGTGATGATCATGATCTCGAATTGCAGGGCTGAGCTAGAAATCAGTTACGCCAAAGGTCTGCAGAAGCTGGCGGGCAAACTCATCAAAGCATCCAGAGGAATGATCAGGAAGTGAGTGCATTCGATGTCGCATGGCTCCGCCTGCTCATTGACCTCTCTAGGCTACGTAGGAATGTTCTTAAATGTACTTAGTGGACATCTGAGCGGTAAAACAAATGGAAACAAGTGGACAAATGGAAAGTCAGGCGCTCCGCTGCCAAATTCATAGCTTACTGTGCAGAATTAGTCATAAGTAGAACTACTGACTAGATTTAGAAGTTGGTGAGCTCAAGATTCGCCATAATTTCTCTCATTTTCCAGCTCCACTTACAATGCCTGGGCACACATCTCAGATGAAATGTGTTCCACAGCGGACATTCACAGGTAATGACCACTGCATTAAGGCAAGGACAATCGTTTTCACTATACATACAGTGCTAGTCAAAAGTTTGGACGTGCCAAGCCTCTTGCAAAGGAGAGTGATCGTGTCGCATCACATGACCTGGTCACCTGACCTAAACACAACAGAAATAGTTTTAGAGGAGTTTGACATGAGAGTGAAGAAAAAACGAGAGCTCAGCATATGTGGGACCTCCTTCAGGACAGCTGGAAGAGCATCCCAGGAGGCCACTTCATGAAAGTGCCATAGAAGAAACAGTCGGGGCAGCCGGTCCATGGAGTAGTTGGGGTTAAGAGCCTTGCTCAAATGCCCAATGGTGGGATCATTCTGCCTACCATGGGATTTGAACCAGCAACCTTCTGAGTCCCAACCCACAGAGCTGCCCCCCCAACAAATTATATTTCGTAATTAATTTTTTTTGGTCAGCACATAATTCCATGTATGATATTTTATAGTTTTTATTCTAAAATTTTCTTTCTATGTATAGGTGGGTCCAAACTTTTGGCTGGTTCAGTATATATAACGTATATAAATGTGTGGTTTGTTAATGACTGTGCATTGCACTACTTATCACTTTTATATACTGCGCAAAAAGTTTGATTTTGAATCTATGGGTAACTGCTGATGTGCATTTTAAACAGGTATTTAGCATGAATTTCTGCAGTTAATGCATAGCTGAGGGGTAAAACGGAAGGATATGAGACCAGAATATTACGTTTGGGTGGTTTGTGGTAATCAAAGCATCCATAACATGGCTTCTGCAGCATAAGCAGCAACTCTGAAACATGCATCATTAAATCACTGAATGGGATTTTTTTTTTTAAACAGAACACTGGGAAACGCTTTTCAACAAGAAGCCATTCTGGAAATCCGTCAAGTTCTAGATGAACATAACAAGAGGAGGCGGCCGGTATGTGACCACTGAGGATACCTCAGCTTTCATTGCCATGACAGTCATTTCATTCTTCCGTTAATGTGCCTTTCATTTTACTTCTGTTTACACCAAATTTTCTCAGTTAATATTCTTCAACTTTTCCTTCTTAGCTAGACAATGCTGTTGAAAAGACAGGGAAGCTTGTGGTTACAAATTGGAATGAACAATTAAAGGTGAGACCAAAGTACGATTCTGAAGAATTCATCATTTTAAAAAAGTAGTGAGAAAGTCCATCATGCGGTTGAGTATTTATAACATATTTGTTCCTGTCATTCAGCTAAAAAAACTATTTACTGTGGATAAATATAACAAAAGTACTGTTTGTATTAATTGAAAACTTTTCCATCTAAATTACATGCATAATTCCTATAGTGCCTTTTAAACAAAATCATTGCTTAAATCCAAATTTCAGTTTTTGAAATTGTATTTAACATTTTATATGAAGTATGCTTCATTAAGCCTAGACTTACTGATTAACATATTGCCTAAAAGTTCAGTCTAAAATTGTGACATTTCCGGAAAGCAGTCATATACATAACAGAGGCTGTTTCCCCACAGAGCAAGAAGAAACTAATTGGTTTAACAAGAGAGCATGAAGCCCTTTTCAGTTTTGTGGAGAACAACAAACAAATATGTACAGAGAAAGAAAAACAGAAGGTAATGGAATTACTGCATTTCTATAACAAAACTGTTCTATATTGAACATAAAAGAGAATGGGACATTGTATTTCATCATATCACATGCTGGTTTATTCTGCTAGTGATGTAAAAGCAGTGTTGATCATCTTATCCTGCTGGTTTATTCTGCTAGTGATGTAAAAGCAGTGTTGATCATCTTATCCTGCTGGTTTATTCTGCTAGTGATGTAAAAGCAGTGTTGATCATCTTATCCTGCTAGATGCTGAACCGTCTGACAAAGTCTGCAGAACTGCAAGTAAAGGCAGATGAAGAATACTTCAACACCAACCTGGCAGGCCTTCAGTTCAGGCTCAAATGGGAAACCACACTGAAGAACTGCTACCAGGTGACCAGTAGTTACCATCACATGCTTTGTTTATATGAAATAAGGGTGACACCAAACCCTTAGCCTTAATGTAACTCATTTGAGCCATGTGAAAATCTTACGGTATGATTCTGTTGAATGCTTTCAATTACACATTCATATTAACATAGATTTTGTATTCATGGTTTTATATAAGGATTATCAACTTCAGTTCTCCAGTGGCCTGTACTACGAAGCGGGGTTACTGGCTTATCGGGCTAACTTGTCGGATTTAAGGTAGTCTGGGCAAAATGTAAATCAATGAATATGAAGTCCATTTAAACTGTGGTACCTTAAATTCCCCAATAAGCCAGTAACCCTGCTTTGTAGTACAGGCCATGGAGTATAAAGTGGCCTTGAATAGCATGGCCAGAAGTTTACCCATATTCAGGCTGACTGTTTGTTGTGTGTATTGTTTAGGTCGTTCAGGAGATGGAGAAACAGCGCATAGAAATACTCTGTAATATACTGAACAAGTACAACTTGCACATGTCCAGCTTTGGACAGACCCTCATCCATGTGAGTTCTTCATTTCCTTATGTCATTTCCATGCTGTTTCGAGCAGTGTTCCCCAATCCGGTCCGCAGGGACCCACAACCAGTCCACGTTTTTGCTCTCTCCCAGCTCCCAGCAAAAACGTGGACTGTCTGTGAGTCTCAAAGGACCGGAACAGGAAACTGATTTAGAGCAATGCTGAGCAAAGACATATGTAATCCTCTGCTGTACAGCAAATGCTTGTTATGTTTCTTACAGTGTCAGAAGCAGATAGACCAAGCAGTAAGGAGAGTGAACGCTGAAACGGACATAGAGATGCTGGTTGAGCAGACAAGTACTACTTCAGAAGATAACAAGACTGAGTTCCTGCTCCCTGACTATTTTGTCAGTTTTTAATTTTCTCATGTTTCTAAGTTAATCCGTTAAGCTTTTGCGTATAATATTAATGGCCTGGTCTGTTCAGGTTCACACAGGACTGTGGATACCATTGCAGTTTCCTATATATCTTCTATATAAATGTTTCACACTGGACAGGAAGAGGACGGCAAAACCATAATGGGGAAAGAGAGACGAAGGGAGGGCATGAAAACAAAACTGCAGCGGCTTCAGGAGAGTATCACAAAAGCAAAGAAGGACCAGGAGGGTTAGCATGTACTAGTAATAAATATGGAAATGTAACACCCATCACAACGTTTGTCAGTTTAATTCCCATACGTGTGTAGTTAAAAAAAAAAAAAAAAAACTACTTTTTTTCAGGTTTGGAGAAGTTGGTGAAAACCTACCTGGAAAATCCCTCCTTCTCAAACAAAAAGAATCTGGAAGAGACAGAGCAGCTACTGGATGAGGTGATCCAGTAAAAACGCTACTTCTGAGGCCGTGGTGCATTTCTGTGCCACCATTTAAGCTCGGCCAAAAGCAAAGTGCATTTAACTTCGAGGTTTCATTTAAGACGGAATGCTGTGGACTTTCCTTAGGCCACACTGAAGCTGGATCTCCTTGAAGCTACATACTGGAAACTCACCTGCAGCGTGGCTGACTTAGAAGGGAGGTCAAAGCCTTCACATCGGTTCACCAACAGCATCGCCAAATGGAAAGATAAGGTACTGACTATAAAAGCTAAAAGCACCTAACCTTGCAGATGTTACTAAAACAACATAACGGATCATGGCGAGTCCCCCTCAAGGAGGGAGGAGACTCACGGATACTTCCCTGCTCACGAAAAGAAAGTGATGCACTAATTATGAAACCGCGTAGATGTGCCGCGTCTCTCTGAAGCATCCCTGTATCAAGATGCACAGATAACATCAGCCAGTGTGTTTTTTTGTGCAGGACGCCGAGCACAGCATAGTGCAGCTGACACGTCCCATTAAGATAAAGAGGTCTCCGTACAGGGCGAGGGTGTCCATGCTGCTGGCTCCCAGCTGGAACACTTTAACTGCAGAGACTTGCTCTAGTGATATGGACTCTGCTGCCTCTACTGAGAGTTTAGAGAGACAGCAAAATGGACACAGCTCTGGGTTTACTGACGAACCAGGTAAACACCATTGACATAGCAGGCAAAAAGATAATGGGGTATTCTATTGGGGGGGGGGGGGATAAAGTGTTTGTTGAATTTCACACTGCTTGACTAAAGAAATAATAGTGCATTTTAGCAGTTACAGAATGTATTTAAACTTGCCAAGAAGAAACTTCAATACAGTAAAATATGAGTAATATAATTGAATGTAAATTGCATATTAAATATTTTATTCCAGTACTAGGACTGTTGAAGACATTCTTATTCTCTCCCAATAGGTGCAGAGCTTGCCAGCATTGGCAAATGCAAAGCTCTATATAACTTCACATCAGACAGAGACGACGAGTTAGAGCTAAAAGAAGGTGAGTGATTAGTGACTGTGCAGGATATTGACTGAGGTTTCCTAATCAGATGCAGTGTTTATTTATTGTTTAAATCCACAGGTGACCTCTTAGACATCTTAGAAAAGGACCAGAGCGGTTGGTGGTATGGGGTGTTGAATAACCAAAGAGGTCACTTTCCATCAACTTACGTGGAGGAGCTTCCAACCATTGACATCACAAAATCTTCTGATGTGTGAAATTCTTCGGGCCCTCAAATTCCATAGACAAACATTTTACAGGTGCTTCCAGTTTTCGTTAAAAGCAAATTAGCATGAATCTGCTTAACCACATTCCGTAATTGCCATTTTGTATATAAACAAGCAACGAAACTTAATAAAGCTGAAACTGTATGTGACCTGTTGCAGACCTCAAAACATGACTGCTGCATTGTTACAGGAGAATTCAACTATTGAGTAAATTTGTGCACATTTTGCAAATTCAGGATCCTTTGTACATATATTGTTTTTGAAGTGTGATTGATATAAATCTGTCATATTAAATTGTGACTGAACACAAATCAGAGGTGACAAACACTAATCTTGTGTATGTTCTTTAGATTGCCATTAATATTTTGTAGTATAAAAAAATGGAATTTGTACTGATGAGTTACAATTAAATCATTGGTTTCACCTAAGAAAAAATGAAGGTTATTATTGCTAAAGGTACTGAATGGCTTTCTTCCCCCAAATGCTATATCTGTCACTAAGATACTGCAGGTAAATGAAGCACGGAAAGGTGAGTGTCCTTCACTGTCATTATATTGGAGTTCTAGGGAAAATGAAATCTTTCAGACACTAAAAGAAAAATGCTAAAAACCTGAATGTTTACCTACTTTCATGCGAAGAAGGATTTAAAGTGGACAGTAAGACAGTAATAGCTCCATGACAGAACATCCCACTTTCTGTAACCATCACAAATGTGCCAAGAGGCATGATTTTAGACCAAGGCTCTGAATGAACGTCTGTCTCACTTGACTAAAGTTTTCCCCACCAAGCACCCACAAGACAAATTTATAAATAACAAAAAAAAAACACTCATCTTTCATCACTTTGACAGTAGTTGTCTGATAGCTTTGTGATCACTACAAATTCATTATTCAAACTCTGGCAAAGCAATCTCCAAAGAGTTTCGATCGCAATGCACATGTAGCTACAATAAGCAATAATCTGCAGGCTGAAAAGGCACACCAGAACGTAAACTGTGTAAGATGATTATTCAAAAAAATGTGCTGGTAAGGTAATGTGATATAACATAAATACAGAAAGGTATTTAATATTGCTGCTATAAAACAATTTTACATTTATAAAATACTTATATATAAAATGCAAGACAAAAACAATTTTACCAAAGCGATAAGAACAAAACAGACGAGTTAGGGTTCAGAATTACTACAGATTGTTACTACAGTTTCAGACATTCAATTGGTTTCCCCATCAGGTCTTAGGTAAAGAAACAAATTCTTTCCTGACATTGGCAAGGAAGGCAGAGAAGTTGTTGGTCTCAAGTAGCCGTTTTTCCAAGTGAGCCATTCGCTCCAATGGGGGGTCGCATGAGACAACTGGAACAATGAGAAAGGCAGTTACAACCTCAAGTCAACTCAACTTTCCTGTGTTTATCCAGATACGGAGATCATGTGGCAGTTTCAGTAAACATGAGAAATGGACCCAATGTGTAACAATCTAGCAAACAGGAATCACATTATTAACCAAAGCTTTATAATAAGTAACAGATACCTGAGCAATGACCACTTCAAACATTCCTGCCCTGGAGCCCAGAACAGGCTATTGTTGTACATGTAACAGGCCTTGTAATACTAGAGTCATTGTTACCCCCATTCCTCTCTTTATTCATTTAATCAGTAATCATATCTCTTCCAACAAAATTATGCCACCTTAGATTTCACCACATTTTGCCTCTTAATGACCTAATTTGGCAGTTCTTTCCCCACATATTACAAATCATGCTAATGCCCATTTGAATGATTAGAAAATATAATGATTTAGCAATTTTGGTGTGTATTAACTGAACTATTGGTTGCTGGTTCGAATTCCTGACTAACAAGGCACCACTGAGGTACCCGGAGCAGGGGCGTGCCCCGATGCACTGCTCCCTAAAAAACGTAGTTTGAAGAACATGGCCAGATATAGTCCTCCTTTGTCAACCTTGGACCAAGCTCCCAAGTCCTGGCAATACTGCTTTAAAAACACGAGTAACACAATGCAAAAAAGAAATAAATTATTATAAAAACAGGAAAAAAAAAAAATATCAGTGGGCTAACCTTGATACAACCCCTCTTCGCTGAGCCGAAGGATGAATGTGTGCACGCCGTCAGGATCACTGCTGTTAATGCCTCGGAATATGAACTGCAGCTTCTCACCTTCAGGGGGGAAATTACGCAACATCCATAAGAACAACTCCACATCCAGTGAAGAAAAGCAACGGAGGGGAACAATTGATACACTGGAAGATGATCATCTGCCTCAAAGGTTCTTGTTAAATGAGGCTGCCGCCAAGTGTGGACACAACACCTCCATGTCAGCTACAACTAATGTTTGCTTTATGCTTCTCCTCGTACAACGAAATAGACTTATCGTCTCAACCAGTAGGAACTCATGACAAACATGCAGCTATTTTATTAAATATCACCCCTCACCCCCCAAGAATGAATATATAGAGCTATTTTTGGAGGCCCGAATGCATACAAACCTATTAACATAAAACTATACACACAGATCCAATGATGCACAGATTCAAGGTCAATATGTCGTTTCCCTACCAAATCTCATCTAACTGTCAGGACTGAAAACACACACACACATAAAAAGAAATCACAAACAGAAAGACCAGACATTACAATGAATAAGGAGTCCTGCACAGTAAACAAATCCTATCTTGGAAAATTCCAGTCTGTTCACACCAGTATGGATTTGCCTGGTATTAACCACCCATTAACTAAAAGGTAATTAAAGGTTGTAACTGTACAGTGTTACTATAAAGGGAGCCTTACCGTGAATTTTTCGGATTTCCAGACCAAGCCAGTCCTGGAAAACCTGCCTGACTGTACTCAGATTTTTCAGCTTGTCCTTATTTGCTTTGTTCTGAGAAATAATCGCTGTAAAAAAAAAAAAGACAAGTAATTATACAGGGGGTATCAAGGTAAGTAGCATTACGAGCATTACTTCCAGGGTGAGAGGTTCAAATTCTACCTGTGTATATGTGTATGTGTGATCTGCCCTGCAATGTAGCAATGGATTAGAATCCCTGTGCTACCTAGGATAGACTCGAGGCCCCTATATGAGCTAGACCATTATAAACAGTGGGGAGATGGATGGATGGATGATACAGGGAAACAAACATAAGCCTGTTTTAGATGCAAACAATGTAAACAAACAATGTAAACAAAGATGGTCAGAATGTGCTTCTGCCCCAAACTTACATTCCTTCTTCCTGGCCTGCTCCTGCCTCAGCTTGTTGATTTTCTGTATTATCATTTCTTTCTGAGTGTCCTTTTCCTCTATTTCTGACAATATGGCTGGGATTGAATCTCCAGTCTCTTTACAAAGGGCTTGATTTTGTTTGATATCTGAAAGCAAAACGGCATATCCGAAAGCTTTATAGAAGCATTACAATGTGGCTTTACATCTACAGATTGCAATTAAAGGCTCCACGTACCCTTTCTGTATTTTTGAATCATTTCAAACATGGCTTCATCCTCTTTGGATTTCTTTGAACATATGTCTATGAAGCAAAATAAATCATTACTACAAACACCAGCTGTCACTGTTCTGTGATTATATAAAGACCCTGAAGGTTATCCCATACCTTTGATAGGTTTAAAAAACTCTTTGTGAGCTTGACACAACTCCATCTCCGTGTCAACCATTTCGCGCATGGGCTGCACCAGCAGTTTGTTCCATATGTCTTCCAGCTTGTTGCTAAAATGCTGGTCGGCGTCTGGATCTTTCACGCTGGTCATATTTAATCTCTAATACGGACGGTTTAAGAACAACAGAGACCACACTAGGCACCCTGGATCTCTAGAATAGGAATAGATCAGCTCATTATCACACGTGATTTTAAAAATAAGTAGGCTAATAAGTTAAAAACAAAAACGAAAATCCCAGATTCAGTTAGCAGATATATGTCTCGTAGTAGTTTGTTAGTTAACTCGGACACAAACCATGAACCTTGACAAAAGTGACATTTTAAAACATAAACGGACTTACAAAGGCATCTAATCAATTTCATAACGTAACTATGGCAAACGCCAGGTTATGTTACATTACTGCCAGTTTGCAAACCATTTGACTAGCTAACGATATCGTAACAGAAAGAGGGTTAGTGGAAAAAATTACAGCGAATGTTACATTATAGAGCATGCATGTATGAAATTAAGTGCCATATGCCAGTTTGCTAAAACAAAGTTTTACAACCGTAACCTGATTGACATGTAACGTTAGCAGTGAGCAAACCGACAAAACAAAAGCAAAACAGCTAGTTTGATATAACAAAACATATATGAAAACATACTTACAAGAAATGTATTTATTAAACAGCTTGTTCCGAAGATGGTGATTCGGTAGCAACCGAATTTATTATTTACTGTATATTTTATTTACGAAATTAACCGGAGTTTTCAACCAGTCAGTGCGCGCGTGAATTTAATTTAACCGGAAGTGACGACAAAGGGTTGAACTTAGTGAAATTTAAAAACGTAACTAGTAACCGAATGGTCACGTAAAATTTCACACAATCATATATGTACTCATATACATGCTTTCTGGTGTTTTATGTAAGATACATCACAATAGGAAATAACGTCGCCGTTTTGGCAACTTTATACTAAAAAACACATGTGGCACACAAAGCTTCCCAAGATCCACCGCTTCGTTGTATAGAAGCAAGTTGAGGCCGCTTGGTGGCGGTATTGTGTACTACAAGCAAACGCGAAGGGCTCAAGTCTGCTGCATGCTGCATGCTGCATACAATGATATTGACAAATACTGTATATTGGGTACACAGGGCTGCCAAGTCTCACGCATCTGGCATGACTCACGCTTTCAGACTCAGGCTCACGGGTAGAAATCTTACGGCAAATCTATATTACTCCATTATAAACCTAAAATTAATTCTATAAAAAACGATGGGGAAGTTTGTAAACCCCACAGACTATTTACAAGGCATTAAAACTGTTACATACATATAAATGTGTATGCAGACTTGTCTCCACTTGAGAATTTCACTCCAGCCAGCTAACCAAACTTGGCAACCCTAGATACATTGTAATGTCTATTACTTTCTAAATATTTTAAATTGACTAAGAATTTAAAGTTATATGAGCTTTTTGTATGTCATATATTACTGAAAGATATACAGCAACAATTTGAAATAACTTAGATACTTCACTATACATATTTGAACAATCCATTATTTTGGACCACTAATCTAATACGAGCACAAACCATAACCCAGGAAGTACACGACACAGCACGGACGGGAGGCCAGGTCAGTCTATGGACAGAAATGTATGTTCTTGGAACAGAGGAGGGAATCCTCAACAACATGGGGAGAAAATGCAAACACCACACACTAAGCTTGGGTCAAGAATCAATCCCACAACCATGGAAGCGTGATCTTCACATGCTGTGCACTAAGCTACCGCATTACCCTAAAAGAGTATTTATGATGAATTTTAAGTTACATATAGGCCTATGTACTTATATGTGCACATGTATTCTGAAGTATATTAAATACAAACATTAAAAAACATTATATGTTTTTTTTATTGACCGTAAACATTTAAACTTCATAATTAATGAGGTAAAGAGAAAAAATGGAAAATATTTCAATCTAAAATTATTAACAGCACATGGATTAGACAGTTTTGTATGGTCTTTAATTGCATTTACAAAGCATTTTAATAAGTCAGCTCTAAATAATGAATAATGAATGAACGGATCCAGAATTCTATACTCAATTAATATAGCAAAAAGACAATAATTAACTACAATGTGTAATTACTCAAAAGTAACATTTGAAACATTGCAGTTCATCAAAGGAAGTATATTTTTATAAGATTACTTTTAATTTAAATACATATTTACATGAAAGGAAAACAATGGGGAACAATGTATTTGTCAGAAATTTTGCCAGCGAGACAGTTTTTTTCTTTCCCCATGTCAAATTTAAATGTTTTTTTTCTTACTTAGCTTCCACCTTCAACATTCACAATTGTCAGTCATAACTAGTGATCCCAATGTGCCTTGAGAGCTTTTCAGTGTTTCCCAGTTCCAGGTGTTTGTCAAACTGGGCCCTGTTCAGTCCCAACATGTTTAGCTGATGGGCGCCCCAGTTGTGACCAGTTTATAGTAGGCACCCTTGAGGGCCATGAGCTGGTCATGGGTGCCCTTTTCAATGATGCAGCCCCGTGACATCACTGCGATGATGTCAGAGTGCTGTATAGTGGAGAGGCGGTGAGCAATAACGATGCAGGTACGGCCCTCTCTCGCTTTGTCCAGTGCTTCTTGAACAGTCTGTAGGACAAACGACATGTTGATGTTTATTTCTCTAGATCAGACTGCAGACAATACCCAAGCACATTCACACCCAGGGGCCCCCAATTCAAAATGTCGCAGGGACCTTCTCGCTCTCTGTATCCAGGGCAGACGTGGCCTCATCCAGCAGCAAGATCTTGGGGTTTCTGACAATGGCCCGGGCTATGGCAATGCGCTGCTTCTGCCCCCGGGACAGCTGGGAGCCCTGTGAGCCCACGTTGGTTGCATATTTCTGATTTAAAAAGACGGCGAAACAATGAAATAAACGAAGCAGATTGCCTGGCAGATCGAAATCTGAAACCGTATGAAACAGTACAAACTGATGTATTGTTGGCAGCCAAAAGACTCCTGAAGCAGATGGAATAGCACATCTATGAAATGCCAAGCCTGATAATTAGTCGATTTTGCATACTAAAAAGCAGTAACCGTGTTATATATATGCCATGGCTGGTACCTCTGGCAGGGACATGACAAAGTCATGAAGCTGGGCCTCCTTTGCTGCGAAAATGACATCGTCCATGCTGACCTCCCGCAGGTTGTCCCCATACTTGATGTTGTCAGCGATGCTGCAGTCGAACAAGATAGGTTCCTGGGAGACAATGCCGATCTTCGAGCGCAGAAACGGCACGTGGATCTTGGAGGAGTCGTGGCCGTCAATCAGCTATTTTGTAACACGTCAACATTATGTCAGTCATTGGATGGTTTACACTTTAAGCACAAGCAACAAGACTTGATCTAACTTGCTTTCCAGATAATAATTGAAATATTCCATTTTGAACTATTGGATGCTTACATTTCCTAACTAATTTAAATTATAAAAGATCTTTCATACTATGCAGGAAAAAAGCAAGTACCGGTAAATAGATGATAATTTATAAACTTAACATTACTTCATTCCATCACTTTTCATATTTAAGCTGCTTCACTTAAAGGACCTTAAAGCACCACTAGATGCATATGGCTAGATATTACTTCACCTAGAATGATGAACTTAGCAACGGATCTTAGACATAGACAATATCCAACAACTGCTTTTAAATACATTATGCCAGTGCATTAATTACAATCTGCTATCGTCTTTGATAAATAATAACATTTTAAACTAGAGGAAGCAATTTAGTTTTGTCGCATCCTGAAAGCGTGTCTTTTTTCATACCCGCTTATCCTTATTTTCCATAATCGCTTATCTAGTGCAGTGTCACACTGAGCCTATCCCAGGAAACACCAGCAGGGGGCTCTCTGGCTAGAATCCAGTCCATCACAGGGAACACACTCACACACTATAGGCAATTTAGAGACCCCAGTTCAGCCAGCCACATGTTTTTAGTCTGTGGGATGGAACAAGAGAATTCAGAGATAACACAAACAGAACATACAAACTCCACAAGGAGCCAAGGAGGGGTTTGAACCCACAACCATAGGGGGTGTGCTAACCGCCGACAGTATCAAATTAAGATAACAGCAATCACTCTTTGTAGTTTATGCCACAGGGTCTAGTTGTACCATAAATCATGCAGCCTCAAAGCCTTTTTATGCATTTACCTGATGCTTTTATCCAAAGTAACAGTATAGAAGAGGGTCATAGTTTATATATGCTCCCTGGGATTTGAACCAACAACTTTTGTGTTGTTAGCACAACGTTCTTCTTGCTGAACTACTGTAGCTACTAAAACATCCTCACTCACCACTCTGCCTTCATCTGGGTCATAGAATCTCTCCAGTAGCTGGATGCTGGTGCTCTTGCCACAACCACTGCTGCCGACAAAAGCCAAGGTCTGGCCTGGCTTCACTGACACGTTCAGCCCGTTCAGCACACGAATGTCAGGCCGGGAGGGATACGTGAACTTGCAGTCGATGAATTCAATATCACCTTTGAAATCTGCCTGTAGGTGGGGAGGTAAACAACCTTTCACAGTGCAACAAATTCATGACCTAATTCAGCAAAGACTGAGAGGAAACTGAAATCCCAGTAGGACCCTGAAAACTAGAGAGCCATTGTTATGCTTAGGGACAAAAATATAGGCTGAGATAGAAATGAAAATTGATGAAGTCTGGTAAGAAAAGAGAAACCAAGTCTTGTATTTTATGGTATATTTTTCTATATTCATATATTAAACCAATTAATAATTTAGGCATGATGGAATTGAAAGGAAACAACTACTAACACTGGCTGTGAACTGTCTATCCACTGTACTGACTACAGTCTCATACAACATAGAGAGTCTAATTCAAGGGGGAAATTTCGTTACAGGGTATTTGATAACCAGTATTAAAGTATTAAGTATTAAGCTTAAAATGAGTCTTCAACTAGTGTACTATTAAGAACATTAATAAATGTATGACTAAGTCTCTCAAAGTGTAAATAACTCAGTATTTATTTTAATAAATCATATTAAGCAAGTTCATTCGTTAAATAAAAGTCTTATGGCGCTTTTTGCAGAATTACAATGATTCTGTGGTCACTGTTCTATATTGGATTGAAAAAGCTGTTGTGCACGATTTCTCTGTGCTGAATGACACAGTCCGAGGGGACAGACACTTTAATGTTTCTCTGGCTATGTCTGGTTTCGTGGATGATATTTTGGGAGAGCACAACTTCTAATACCGTGGCAACATAGCAGTGAGCAGAGGGTCTGTTATTAATTGTTATTAGCTGTAGCTGCTCTGACATCCTTACAGAACCGTGTGGCTAGATTCTGAAGGTAAATGACATCATCATTGTCAATAACAGCTGGTGAAGTCATACCATTGAAACACGCGTCAAATGACAAAAGCAAATGAACTATACACACCGTGTCTGTCAACCATGATTTTAGGAAACAGGCCTCTCCTGACCCTAACAAATGACATTTACTGTAACTACAGTAACTAATGAAATATCACAAATAGCATCAATACTCACCCATTTCTCTCCCTCTTCACTGTAAACATTGATTTTGGGGACACGGTCTAAGAGTTGGAAAAACCTTGCTGCTGAAATCTTTGCTTTGGCGTAATCTGGGGTGTAGGACGATGCACGACCGAGGGCTGTTCCACTTGTAACTATAGCAGAGATGACCCTGCAGGAATGCGAGATGATCAGCAGACAATGTGAGCACCGCAGGATACAAGTAGGAATTACTGAAGCATTTTCATATGTTTGAGATTTTTAACACTCAAACTGAATAATATTAGAAAAGACACAAAGATGAATAAGCCAAGTTGAACCTTCACCTGAAAACCATGCTGAAGTGAAGCCCTTCTTGCCGTACCAGATAGCCTCCAAACCTGTAGGAG